CGTGGTGTCGTGTGTGTGTGTGTACACCCACCTCGCAGGTTCTCATACGAAACAAAACTTCAGCGTGTCACGGCGCACAGAAACCACTGACCATCGAAGAGAGAGAGAGAGAAGGAACCGCAGACAAACGGGAAGGCGGTAGCAGCAGCAGCAGCAGCAGCCACGCGAGAAGCCGACGCCAAGCTCTGCGGCCCTCTACATATTAAGATGTTACCGGTTAATGAGTGGTTGTGCGGGAGAACACTCGAAGGACGCGCACAAAGGCCGACGCGTGCGACGGGGGAACGGCACCGACTCTATACGCCCCACGGGAAGGGGGTTTCACAACCCATCGGTGCCCGGTGCTCCACCAATCCTCACAGCTGCCTCCACAGATGCGGCACTAACAGGCAGCCACGTGTAGTAGCGTAGCCGCGCAGCGATGCTACTTAAAGCGACGATGTCAGCGCAATTTGCCTGTAGCGTCAAAGTCCGAACACGTCTGGAACGCTTCGCCACTCATGTTCGACATCAAATTAGGACTCTGGTCGCCGGATACGTGGATTCGCAGCGCAGTGCGCTAACCATCGCGCCACCCCTCCTCCACGTTCTGTACAGGGTGCTTCGAAAAAATGTTAGCACTTACATGGGATTATCGTTTTTAATGGGAAAAATTACGGATAACAATACACTGTAACATGATAACAAATGTATGTTAATAGCTTCAAAAAGTCAAAGAGTCTTCAACTTGTTCGCCATCATTGTCAACACGTGCTTGGAATTCATATTCTTGGGTCTTTCGGTAAAGTCACGTAGATAAGTTCAAAGAAAATAACAAAAAAATACAAAAAAACTACGACGTTTCGATCGCAACGCCAGCAGTCGTTATTAGGAAAAGGGGGCTTAGCTTCTAAAGGCAAACTGTTTATGAGGGGTTTGAAACGAGCGTAGCCCAAATGTCAGCAGCCCATGGTAATGTAAGTGGTGGGCAGCTCAACCCGACGGTGGTTGGTTTTCCACCAATCAAAGGGCTGCCAGCTGAGAATGAGCACGTTCAAGAGAGATCAGCGTCATCATGGGACCTCCTTTGCCAGTACCAAAATATGAGAATAGGTTTTCTCCTTTTTTTCTGGCAACAAAACAGCTGTCTTAAGATGTTTCAGTTTGGTGTTTTAACATCTTAACACCTGTTTTGTTGCCAGAAAAAAAGGGGGAAACCCTATTCTCAGAGATCAGCATGTTAATGGGAGATTAGCATGTTAATGGGAGATCAGCATGTTAATGGCAGATTAGCGTGTTAATGGGAGGTTAGCATGTTAATGGGAGATTAGCATCTCCCATTAATATGCGGTTGAAATTGTGTCAAAATATATGGATGGCTTCATGAACGAATCTTTGTTGATAGCCAGTGGGCTTGCATAGTACCTTCGTCTTAGAGAAATCAATTTCGTGCGAGCCCACCGCATTAAAACAATGATCAGCCACGGCCGAGGTATTGGTGCTACCGTGTTTCAGATCTGCCTTATGTTCACGAACACGGTCCCAAACATGTCGCTTAGTTTCCCCAATGTAACTACTGCCGCAGACACAGTTTAGTTTGTAGACACCGGGGTATTGCATGTCAGGGATCACATCCTTCACAGATGGGATCAGATCACGAATTGTATGTACTGTGTTAAATCGAACCTGGATCTTGTGTTTGCTCATGATTTTAAAAATATTTTGGTGACCCCTGCTATGTATGGCAAGGTGATGGTTTTGATTGGGTCATCAGATGGTTATTTCCCAACGGTTGGGGTGATAGCTTTACGGATTGTGTAGTCTGAATATCCATTCATCTTGAGGGCTTGGTGTACGTGTTCTAGTTCACGTGGCTAGGTGATGGCTGTCGGAAATACATCGAACTCTATGGTGTAGAGTTTTGATGAGAGAATTCTTCTGGGATGGATGGTGGTAGTAGTCAGGTTTTAGATAGGCATCCGTGTGGGTGGCTTTCCTGTAGACAGTGTCCCATTGAGTAACCTGGTCTCTTTTCGATTTAAATATCCAAGAATGGCAATTTGCCATCCTTTTCCACCTCTATGGTGAATTTGATGGCTGGGTGTATGGAATTGATGTGTGGTTGAGGAATTGGTTCAGAGCTGGTCGGCCATGTGGCCAGATTACAAACGTGTCGGACGTAGAGTGGATGCCTGGATGGCATCTGTCTCCAAATATTCCATGAAAACATTGGCTACAACTGGAGATAAGGGAGAACCCATTTGGGTACCATGCTTGGAATCTTCTCCAGGTGGTTTCCAGAGCCCGGAGGCACATTTCTTGTGGTGTTGTTGCAAATTCTCAGACGTGTTAAACATATTTTTGAAGCACCCTGTATATGTAGATGCATATACGAGTATATACATGTGCGGTGCACATTCAGACTGTTCGAAAGTGCTCTTCGTGAAAGTACAAAAAAAAACGAATTCATGTTCCGATGCTGCTGCGGCGTTGGCAGTGCTGCACAAGTACAATGAAGAACAGCAGCAACAAGCTCGACTCAACCGTCAAGAAAACCGTGGGTCTTAAGAGAACAAATATATAACAGGCGACGTTTCGGGCAACGATCCTTCTTAATAGCACGTTAATAGGAGTAATGGTGTGGCTGTGGTGGTCATTTACGTGCTATGAAAAAGGGTCATTACCCGAAGCGTCGCCTGTCATATATATTTTTATTATTTTAAGGCCACGGTGTTATTGTTTTGTTGACAAACGTTCAGTGCATGACTCGCTTCTGTTCACAGCGGGGGCACTGTGAGGCATTTTCCACGTGCAGTGGTGAAACGAGCGATGTTGATATCGGAGCGCTGTGAGCATCTAAAGTGTAAAACTAAGGGGTGTGGAGGAAGCTTACCACCAAACGTGAATAACCACCTTCACTACCTCGCCTCCAGTGGGCATTGATTCTTAAGAGCATTCATTAGGGCATTTGGGCACTCCTCCACCCCTTTCACCCACTCACTTTTCTTCTCTAGTGCAGGGGTGTGCAACGTCCGGCCCACGGGCCGTATTAGGCCCGCGAAATCAGGCAAATTTTTAAGTTGATAACTTTGTATGGCCCGCGAATGATGTTATAGATATCCAAATGTCCCTTGGCAGAAAAAGATTCCTCACCCCTGCTCTAGGGGTATCGGAGCTTCGGAAGGCACCAGGGTTGCAAAGTTTAATGAAACAGTTTATTGAAACAATTTATTGAACAGTTTATTGAAACAGTTTATTGAAACAGTTTATTGAAACATGCCGTATAGACCAGTTTCCAATAGCACCGTAAATCCATAATGTGCTGTTTGTGCTGGTGTCAAACTCCATGTCATATCCTCTGCGGTGTGTGCCTGATATCGTTCCGATAATAAAATACTTTTGGAGAGAAAACAAAAATATTGGAGCGCTGAAAAGAGCGGCGCGTTAAATTATCAACACCTCCTCCTCCCCCATCACCTCCACCTCCTCGTCCCCCATCACCTCCACCTCCTCCTCCCCCATCACCTCCACCTCCTCCTCCCCCATCACCTCCACCTCCTCCTCCCCCATCACCTCCACCTCCTCCTCTTCTCCCATCACCTCCCCCATCACCTCCCCTTCCCCCATCACCTCCACCCCCTCCTCCCCAATCACCTCCACCCCCTCCTCCCCCATCACCTCCACCTCCACCTCCTCCCCCATCACCTCCACCACCTCCCCCTCCCCCATCACCTCCTCCACCTCCTCCTCTAGGCCGAGTCCACTGAGGGCCACCCACTGCCACTCTTCCTAAGTCGAATTCAAGTTCCACTTTTATGTTAGGCATTGAGCATCTTCACGCACGGCGCTTGACCTGAAGCTTACAAAGGCGGTGCCACAGAACAATGGGACGATTGGCGTGGCAGGAGGCGAGCTGTGGAGGTATTGAGGACTGGGTAACAGCGACAGAGGGACCGCTTCGGGGGTGGGGGGGGGGGTCACAAAAGGGTTAAGGGGAGGCACGGGAAGGAGTGGAGATTGAAGTCGTCAAACGTCGGAATGCTTGCAACGACCCTCCTAAAAACACAAGTCTTGAGACTCCCGTAAGATCCTCTTGAATAAAAAAAAACATATAAACAACAGCATATCTTTGGTTCTTTCGGTAGAGTCACGTCGGTGAAAAAAAATAAGAATAAAAATAGAAATAACTTAATTAAATCACGACGTTTCGGAAGCAACACAAGCTTCCGTCATCAGGTGGGACAACCACATCAGCGATTTAATTTACGAAAACTTCAAATCTAGAATGAACAGCATATCTATCAACCCATACGGTTTACCCCGTATTCTTGTACAGGGAAGTTGCGTTTCCAGGTCCATACGGCGAACAGCCGTTTCAACACGGGCAATTTTTTGTTCTGTATTTGTGTTTCTCCCTTGCGATGGGACGTTGCAGGATGACCGCTGAGATGTACAAGGGGCACGGGGTGACCAATAAGGCCTGAATTGGTCTGTGATAAAGTCGGGCACTGATAAGGGGTTGACAGGTACGCAGCATGCACTGCATCATTGTCAACCCGCTCCGCTGCTGGATGAAGGCTTCTTCGTGCCGCCGTGTCGGTCACAGGGGGGGGGGGGGGTGTTGTGTGACCACACTTCCACCACGCTGCTCAGCATGGTGCTCCCTGCTCTTGATATCGCTCGCCGCTGATGTCTCGCCCTGGCCGAGGCGCGATGCGCTCCCAGAGCCACGGGCTCCGCGGATATCGACGAGGGCAGGGGGACGTCCACTTGCGGCTATGGAAGCCGCATGCGGCTCTTGAAGGAACCGCTTCGTGGCCCGTTATTGATTGAGGACCGCCAGCGTCTCTCGCGCTCACCGCGCAGTGCATTGCGGTTCTTGAGATTTTGCGGAGTTTTTTGTTTGTTTGTTCGGGAATTCGAAAAAAAAAATGCAAACACCGCGAGTCACATTATTCACTCCGTCAAATTGCGTCACTTGCCACCCCCCCCGTCCCCGCCCCTGCGAACTTGCGTCGCAGGCTTCTCCTCGGCGGGTTCTCTGTGCCCCGTGGGCTCCTCCACCGTGCTGCCCGGGTGCCACCTGGACGTGGAGACCCTCTCGCGCCTGGAGCTCACCCTCCTGGGGCAGCTGCATCGGCGCAAGCGACGCCACCGCACTATCTTCACGGGCGAGCAGCTGGGCGCCCTGGAGGAGCTCTTCCAGCAGACGCAGTACCCGGACGTGAACCTGCGCGAGCAGCTCGCGAGGCGCGTGCACCTGCGGGAGGAGCGAGTCGAGGTGCGGCGCGAGTTGAAGACGCGAGCGATGCGACGCGACACCAAATATTTTGGCGTGTGGATTTACAACAACAAAAATCTCCGCGACATTCCGCTGTGTTGAAGGAGGAGCAGGAGCAGCGGCAAATGTAATAATATCAATAATACTGGTAGGAAGCTGCTGGTTACACTAGCCCAGGGGTCGGCAACCTACGGCTCCGGAGCCGCATGCGGCTCTTTACGGGCTGCTTCTTGACGATATCTACGTATGTACAGTATGTACTCAGATACATTGCGGCTCTTGAAATACTGCATTTTGTACCGAATTGGAAAGAAATGGCTCTTCTTGTTAATTTGGTTGCCGACCCCTGCACTAGCCCATAGGGGATTATTGTGTCCGTCGTGCAGGGAGGGGCTGGGTGGGGAAGGAGGGGCTGGGTGGGGAGGGGAGGGTGGTGAGGGGCTGGGTGGGGAGGGTGGGGAGGGTGGGGAGAGGCTGGGTGGGGAGGGTGGGGCTGGGTGGGGGGTGGGAGGGGTGTGGCTGGGTGGGGAGGGGCTGGTCACCCCGTGGTGCCCTTATAAAACTCAACGTTTAACCTACTCACGCCGGCTTGTGCCCGCCCTCACAGTCGGGCATATTTGCGGAATACACCACGCCGCCGTTGACCCTGGCCATTGACCGAGCCACCAAACGTTCCTACCAGCTCCCTCCGCAGCAGGAATGTGTTAATACATCGCGTCGTGTTTTGTTGTTCACGTGCCAACATTATGGGTAGGCTGCGTCGGGTGCAGGCAGCGTCGTAGTGACGACGTTATCAGCTCAGGTTGGGGGCCACCATAATATTTGATTTGTCTCGCACGGCCGCACCGAGGCTGTTATATATCGCGGCTCGCCTTGCCTGATCACGGCATGACGCTCACGGTCTCGAACATTGAACGCTGTATGGGGCGCTCCGTAGTATGGTGGTTGTCAAGGAGGGCCAAAACTCGTAGCTTTGGTCACCCGGGGGGTAGAGGTGGGGGGCGGGGGGCAAGGCACCCCGTGCCCCCACGCTAGTTACCTTACTGGGTGGCGGAGGGTGCACGGCACACAATTACGCACAGGCTGACGACGACGGGAAAAAGATTCGCGAAGTTGCGGCGCGCGAGTGATGCGTTTCCATCTCGGCCGGACACGACGGAGGGGAGGAGGGACGGGGGGGGTCAGCTGCTCGGATGCACGTCTCAGCAGCAGTGTGCGGGGGGGGGGGTCACAGGCAGATGCTGTGAAACTCCCGTCACCGTGGGTGGCCGTGCTGAGGTCACATGCCCCCCCCCCTGGCTCGCCAGGTGAAGGCGGCACGGCAAGTGGACTAATCACAATTCTGTTGCCTTCTGTACGGGGCTGGAGTGCTGTTGCCCACGCGCAGGGCGTGATGGGTGTCCCCTCTCCCCCACTGATGTTCCGCTTTCATTCCACACATTAAATAGTATGAATAATAATTATGAAAAACTCAGCGTTCATTGGCTGAAAACATCTTAAAATTTAACCCAATATAGCAGCGACAGGAGCCTCGTCAAAATGACTGCTACGAATCAATGCGTCTCTCCTGGATAACAAGTACCTTTGTCATACTACAGGTTTTTTGGGGGGGTTAGAACGCGTGAATATGAATGTGTCGTTAAACCCACCACCACCCGACACAGCCAATGAGTAAGGTTTGCCACGTAAACAGAACATGCCAATTCGTCACTAGTACAGCACACCGGTGTGTTGGAGAGCAAATCCACAACATTGACAATCTGAGTACGACGTTTCGCCAGTAATTACAACCGGCATCATCAGGCGGCAGTCAGCTGCCGCCAGATTGTAAATGTTGTGGATTTGCTCTCCAACACATTGGTGTGCTGTACTAGTGACGAATTGGCACGTTCTGTTTACGCGATGAACCTTACAGATTGGCTGTCAGATGGTGGCGGGTTTAACGACACATTTATCTTGATTTGAAGCTTTCGTGATTGCATGAATCCATACTCTTTGGTTCTTTCGGTAAAGTCACGTAGGTATCAAAAAAATAATAGATCACGACGTTTCGATCGCAACACAAGCAGCCGTCTTCAGGTGACACATTTATATTGACGCGATCTAACCCAAATACAAAAGGAACACCCCTCTATTATGGATGATATCGGTCGTATTGAAGTAAATTATCATCATTATTGTTTCGATTTAAAGCTTTCATGACTGCAGGGATTCATCTTATTGGTTCTTTCGGTAAAGTCACGTAGAAGGAAATTATAAAATAATAAAAATAAAACATCATAAAATAATTCTCACGACGTTTCGGCCAGGTGGAGAACAGACCTGTTCTCCACCTGAAGACGGCTGCTTGCGTTGTGGCCGAAACGTCGTGAGAATTATTTTATTATGTTTTATTTTTATTATTTTATTATTTTCCTTCTACGTGACTTTACCGAAAGAACCAAGAAGATCATTATTGTTGTTATTATTTTTTTTTAAATGCATTCCCATTCTGACTGCGGGCAGGTGTGGTTCAAGAACCGGCGCGCCAAGTGGAGGAGGACAGAAGCGCGCGTCCTCAGCGTCCTCCGCAGAACCGCCGCCGCCACCACCGCCGCAGCAGTTGCAGCAGCAACAGCAGCAGCAGCAACAGCAGCAGCAGCAGCAGCAACAGCAGCAGCCGCAACAGCAGCGGCAGCAGCAGCAGCAACAGCAGCAGCAGCAGCAACAGCAGCAGCCGCAACAGCAGCGGCAGCAGCAGCAGCGGGCGAGCGGCGAGGGCCCCGAGGCGACGCTGCTGGACGCGGTCGCGGCGACGAAGGCGGCCGCGGTCAGAGAGAGCGACAGCGACACCGACAGCTTCTGAGTCAGAGCCGCGGCTAAGACACTGCGGGGTTCTCCAAGCGACCTCGACTACCGGCCAGCAACATCACAAACCCTCACCACCACCAACAACCACCACCACCAACCACCACCACCACCAATCCCCACCACCACCACCACCAACCCCCACCACCACCAACCCACACCACCACCACCAACCCCCACCACCAACCACCACCACCAACCCCCACCACCCTGCACCACCACCACCACCACCAACCCCCACCAATACCAACTCCCACCACCACCCACCACAACCAACACCACCACCACCACCAACTACCACCACCACCCTCGCACCGCCTGCTGCTGTTGTGCCGGCACCGACCCCACCACAAGTTGATGTAACGGTGGCTGCTCCTGGCGGCCCGGTCATCTCTTCCCGCAGCTCTCGCTGCTTCGTGCCGGGGGGCTCCTTCGGGGGGGGGGGGGTGCCCGGGCCTGCGGGTCAGCCCGGCCCCCCCTGCCCCTTGCCACGGAGCGCACTGACGCCTCGTGGGACGTGGGATGCAGCAGGGGCTGAAGCGGCAACAGTAGCAGCAGCAGAATTAATCGACGGCATCATCATCAGCAGCAGCAATTGCAGCGACTCCAGCAGCAGCAGCGGCGGCCGTATTAATAGCGGAAGCATCAGCGGCAACAGTGACGGTTGCAATAGCATCAGGAGAAACAACATTTACAGCAATATCATCATCATCAGCAGCAGCATCAGCAGCAACAGCAGCAGGACTAGAATCGCCATCGTCATCATTTTGAGAAACGATCACTTTAAGACGCTTTTAAAATGCAGATTGCAAACGGCAACTAGCATCGTAATCATCGTCATCATCATCATCATCCGCAGCATCAACAGCATCATCATCACGTTCATCATCGTCGTCAGCATTATCATGAAGCGCTATCGGTTACGCAACGGAGTATAATCTCGTGTTCATCACCACTCCGCACCACTCACGGGCTCAATCGCTCCAGGCACTCATTGAACACGTGTGTGTGTGTGTGGCTCATAACGACGCTCACAACAACGAGCGGAGCACCGGGCGGTTAAAACACATCGAGGAAGCGCTGTTGGGGAGCCATCTCAGTCAGTCATTGCACTTGGGTCTGTCTCGTGACCTCCTGCCAGCGAGCCTTTCACATCACCGCCACTTAGTGGCGACTCGCGGCTGCTGGCAACGATGATCCCACCACGCACATCCTCGTACGAGTCTGCAGACGACGGCGAGCGACAAGGCTTTCATTTCAGCCGGCACACCACGTTCAGTAAACCTACCGCTGTGAATGTGGCTGCTCATCACGGTGCCACTTTCCCCGTCTAAAACCAGTGGAACTTACTAAGTGAGAATTCAATTCTTGCTGCGGCCCAAGCAACTTAATTGCTAAAAACGAAACCGTTTTTATTTTACTACATAAGGCCCCTTGAGCTATGGAGCTCCCTGTCACAAGCGATCTGGCCACAACTGATATCTCAACGAAGTGGCTTATCACGTGGACATTGATAGTTGCCAAATACTTTAAACGCGTGATGTTTATTCTAAATAAGGAGGGAAAACCCCCAGAGGACCTGGAGAAAAATCCACGCGACCACGGGGAGAACACGCAAACTCCAAATGTGCAGCAGCAGGCGTCAGGGTCGGGTTTGAACTCATGTCCAGGCGAGGTAGTTAACATCTCGCTGCCGTGTTGCCGGCGCCACAACAAATGGTACCACACTACCGCGTTGCCATTGGGGCACAATCAACAACAACATCAACAACAACAACAACACTCAACACGTCCGTCAATAACACCGTGTGTGGCCTTCAAAGGAAAACAAACACGTGGTTGGCGGCGATTGGGGTACTTACATCAAACGTGGTCCTTCCAACTGCAAAACTTAACATCAACTCTGCCTCTCCACTGTACTGACATCGACTATATTTTGGGACCTCCTTTGCCAGTACCAAAATATACTAATAGGGGTTTCTCCTTTTTTCTGGCAACAAAACTGACACCTTTTGCAAGGAATCATGCTTACATTAACCACAATACTTGCAGTTGCATTTGACTGCAAGTATTGTTTGCATTTGACTGCAAGTATTGTGGTTAATGTAAGCATGATTCCTTGCAAAAGGTGTCAGTTTTGTTGGCAGAAAAAAGGGGGAAAACCCTATTAGTATCGACTATATTGTTTGTGGCCATGAAGAATTAGGGTCATTGGCCCGAACCGTCGCTTATCAAACGGTTGTCTTTCTTCCCCTGAAGGTCACACGACTGTTGTTGACGAACGCGCCGGGCTGTTTGGACGACACCCGCAGGGTACACACACACGGACGCCGAACGACCATTTCAATGTCCCGTCTTCTTCGACGACAGCCGTCTTGTGAGACTCGTCATCTCGCCACTGACGACAGCCGTCAAAGGCTTCGGCGCAGTTCGCGAGGCCACTCACGCCGCCCGCCCCCTACACCTCCGTCCGCCCCGGTTCGATCCCAGGTGCTGTTGTACTGAACTCAGCTCGCGCGCGCAGTCGCGGCTCGCATCCTCCGCTCCACCGGGGGGTAGGAAGAGGCTCGAAGGGCGCGTTGATGAGACACTTTCCCCCTCCCGATGCGGTCGTCTCCGGCACCGCTGTCAAGGCGCGTTCTGGAGAGCACGCGACGAAGACTCGTGCACGGAGATGCGTCAAGGCGCACCGCCGCCTGGCGAAGATTCCTGCCAATTAAAACTGCCGCGCGTTGATTTAAAAACGTTGTCAAGGTGAACGTGTGTATGGCCGTATGTGTGAGTGTGTGTGTATGTATATATATGTGTGTGTGTGTGAAGGAGCGGTGGCGCAGTGGTTCGAGCACCGCGTTGCACACCCGGCGACTCGGGGAGTTCGCTTACAAGCTCACGACCGGTAACGGTGACAGCGAATAATCTGGACCGCTCCCGGGCCGCCCCCCCCCTAGGTCGACTCGGCGTCAAATGAGCGAGTAGCTTGCGCGGTGCTTAGTGAACCTCAGCGGTGGGGAGACAAAGGCGGCCGGGCTTGGTGTTGGTTGGCCACTCACCGTCCTCGTGTTCCGTGGCGGCCGACATAGGCACACACTATTAGCACTTGCCCCAACAGTCTTTTGAAGGCTATACCGTGGGGAATCTTTGTCTTTGTTTTCTGTGTGTGTGTATATGCAGTTCGTGTTGTATATTGCGACGATATTTTCGTTTGTGTACAGATACACTTCGATGTTGGAACGGATCGCATTTCCACGCCTCTTTGTGCTCACGTGTTTATTAAAATGCGCTCGCTTGATGATGCCTCCCTCCTGCTGTGATGGGCCCCCGTGTGCGTCCACACGCGCGATTCGTCTGAGACCGAAACAGGAGGATTTCCCCCACAATCCTTGGCTGTCGTCTGATGATGCTCGCTGTAATTACTGGCGAAACGTCGTACTCGTAAAATAGAAACCCGCTATAGCGGTGGCAGGAGCCTCGTGAAAAAGGCTTCTACGAATCAATGTGTCTCTCCTGGATAACAAGTACATTATTCATACTATAGGTTTTTGGGGGGGGTTAGATCGCGTAAATATGAATGTGTCGTTAAACCCGCCACCACCCGACACAGCCAATTAGTAAGATTTGTCACGTAAACAGAACATGCCCAATTCGTTACTAGTACAGCACACCGGTGTGTTAGAGAGCCAAGCCACAACATTTACAATCTGAGTACGACGTTTCCCCAGCAATTACAGCTAGCTTCATCAGGCGACATACAGCTTCCGCCAGATTGTAAATGTTGTAGATATACTCTCTAACACATGGGTGTGCTGCACTGGTAACGAATTGACAATGTTTTGTTTACGTGACAAACCTTACTAATTGGCCGTGTCGGGTGTTGGCGGATCTAACGACGCATTTATATTTACGCGATCTAACCCAAAACAACCCCCCTCTCTATTATGGATAATATTGGTCACGAAAGCGCTGTACTGCCACGTGTTCAACTGACATTTCGTTTATTCAAGAACAGAGAGGACACCGCGTTGACCACCGCACAACTCCGGATCCGTGCGTCGCGTTGTTTGTTGGCGAGCACCTCACCGAAGCCGGCACGGCGGCACGACGAACGCTGAGTGTGGTCGCAATCTCCGCAGAGCCACCTCGCCCAAGAAGAAGAAGAAAAAGAAATCCCCCCCCCACGAGACTTTGAAAAATGCAAATGACACCGCAGATTCTACTCCGCTTGTGATCGCGCAGCATCAGCATCATCAGCAGCATCAGCATCATCAGCATCATCAGCAGCATCAGCATCATCAGCAGCATCAGCATCATCAGCAGCAGCAGCATCATCAGCAGCATCAGCAGCAGCATCAGCAGCAGCATCAGCAGCATCAGCAGCATCAGCATCAGCAGCATCAGCATCAGCAGCAGCATCATCAGCAGCATCAGCAGCATCAGCATCATCATCATCAGCAGCATCAGCATCAGCAGCAACATCAGCAGCAGCATCAGCAGCATCAGCAGCATCAGCATCAGCAGCATCAGCATCAGCAGCAGCATCATCAGCAGCATCAGCAGCATCAGCATCATCATCATCAGCAGCATCAGCATCAGCAGCAACATCAGCAGCAGCATCAGCAGCATCAGCATCAGCAGCATCGTGCTGCTGCTGTGACACGACTGCGGTCTGTGGAACAGAGCCGCGTCTCCCTTCGTAATGATGATGATGTGGTGGTGGTGGAGTAGTTGGTGTAGGTGGTGGTGGAGTAGGTGGTGGAGTAGGTGGTGTAGGTGGTGGTGGTGATGGTGGTGGTGATGGTGATGGTGGAGTAGGTGGTGGTGGTGTAGGTGTAGGTTATGGTGGAGTAGGTGGTGGTGGTGTAGGTGGTGGTGTAGGTGTAGGTGGAGTAGGTGGTGGTGGTGTAGGTGTAGGTTATGGTGGAGTAGGTGGTGGTGGTGGTGGTGTAGGTGATGGTGATGGTGGTGATGGTGGTGGTGCGCACACTCTCGATTTTCACTCATTCTCTCTCCTAACCATCTTGTACCATAGTTAGTTCACTGCACAGCGCCTTGGTGAAGGCGCTATCTAATTGTATGCACGATGGAAATCGAGCGAATGCCAAATATGCTGTGATATCATTGCGCTCTGATGGCACGAGCAGCAGCACTGTCGAGGCCGGTTAGCCACGATGAGAGGCCTTCACATGCTGCTCCGCGACGCGACTTGGGTTCGAGGTTATTTGATTTGTGACACGAACGATCCCGTCTAGCCGGTCTGCCCGGCTATTTTACGCGGGAGATCCGTAGTCTCGCGTGACCACAGCGTTAGCAACAACAACAACAACACAAACAACAACAACAATAAGAGAGACACAAAGATCGATATTGCAGAGAATGAGTGCAGGGTCCTTCGGGAATATTGGCCAGCGTGCACACGAGCGATCTACACGACACGGTATCTTACGACGTCCTGAATGACCACGTCTCACTTAAAGTTCCCCGCTTCGGGTGAATGGCTGTCACTTTCAATACATTTCCCATCAAGTTATTTGAGAGGGCGCTATAAAAAATGCACCACATTGACAATGAACGTCGCTGTTATGTGGCATTGTTAACTTCAGTCGTATTCATTAACAAGTGTCTTTAACAATGAAATACGATTGTTAAAATGACAACAAATCTATAAACGTGAATGGACATGACCTTAACTTGAATAGATCTGTATGAGAGTAAACTAATGTAGCTCTATACTATTCTTGGTTCTTTCGGTAAAGTCACGTAGGGAAAAAATAATAAAATAATAATAAATGAATATAAATCAATTAAATCACGACGTTTCGTTGACAACACAAGCTTCATTCATCAGGTGTAAAAAAGGCACAGCAAAAAACTTTTTACACCTGATGAAGGAAGCTTGTGTTACCTCCGAAACGTCGTGATTTCATTGATTTTTTTTCCATTTATTATTATTTTATTTTATTATTATTTTTTACCTACGTGACTTTACCGAAAAAACCTAAGAGTATGAATCCTTGCAGTCACGAAAGCTTCAAATCTAGAATGAATGTAGCTCTATTTAACGTATCTCTATGAGAGTGAATGAAGGTCGTGAATGATTCTTGGTTCGGCAAATCAACACTCGTGAATTCGAACATTTATGTATACTGGAGGAATCCGAAATGCTATAAAGCTCTTTTTCATAAATGTCCAGCCGAGAGGCGTGTTCACGCCAGCCTAGAGCGCCGTCTGTCGCGCTCCTGGACACCGACTCGCGAACCCGCCCAATCATCGCTCCATCTCCACGACCGCCTGTTGCTGAACCAGCGTTAGAAACTCGCAGAGACCACGATGAGTCGAAATCTACCGGAGTGATGTGGGACATTAGCCTGCTGCCGCCAGTAGAGGGGGTTTGTGAGCCTCGTTTTTACCTCCTCCACCTCTCCGGCACCACGAGTCTCTGTGAAATTCCCCGATACCAACCAGAATATCCGTGGCTTCGAACTTCCGCGAAGCTTCTGGCTCACCCACAACCCCCCTAAACCACGGCAGCAGCAGATGCGGTCCTGTCAATGGGGAAAACACAAAAACAACAACGCTCCGGTCCATTGGAATCTCATTTGCCAAAAGAAAAAATAGGATAATTAGTTTTTTACCCTTTTATCTGGCAACAAAATTACACCTTTTTTTACAAGGAGTCATGTTTGCATAGACCACAATACCTGCAGTCATAATGCAAACAAAAAACATATTGTAACTCTGATAATGTATCCACTGTCCTTGAAGTTGATTGGTCCACACCCGAGACAGCTTTCCTTAGAGCCTAGTCTCACATAGGTCTATGCAAACATGACTCCTTGTAAAAAAAAGGTGTCAGTTTTGTTGCCAGATAGAAGGGTAATAAAACGATTATCAACGTTCCGGTCATTGCACGGAGACTGTGTCCACCTCTCCGGGACATCTCCATGGGATACCAGCGCGACTTAATGCCCCGAGGGGGGGGGGAGTGCCCAGGACTGGATCTGATATCACTCGCGGACT